AAACTCACAGTCTGAAACCTGCCTACAAATACCATGCACTACTTACTTATGTCTTCTACTGACAAGCTGTACAACCAACAACCAACAGCCCAATATTAAAGCGCTCTGAATCTTTATTATTGTCTCACAGAGAGGATAAAACCCACCTCTAAGATAAGCACGATGGACTAAAAGGTTTAGGCTGTTCACATGAAGTTTCATTACCTTGAAACATTATGAATCCTCAGACTATAAAACATCATACATTTATATTTATAGAGTTTAAAAGTTTTCCTAAAATTTGAAAAAACAGTAAAAAAATGCTTTCCTTATATGACCCCCTATCCTATCAGAAATACATTTTTCCAGCTAATTTTCCTCTATGAGTCAAACTAAAGAGCTTGATTAATTACATGACAAACTTCAAAGAAGTCCAAAGATAGTAATACATATCCAGTTGATCTAAAAATGGTAACGTTAGATTCAGAATTTTATTTTAAAGGTTGTTCGACACCAGGTTATGAGGTTGCTGAAAACCTGGGTGATGGCCACCTGGTGGTGTCACATGCCTGTAATTTCAGCACTCAGTAGGCCGAGGCAAGAGGATCACTGTGAGTTCGAAGCCAGCCTAAGCTACACAATAAGACCCTGTCTCCAAAAAAACAAAAGAGAGAGAGAGAGAGAGAAAAAAAACAAAACAAAACAAAACAAAAAAACCCTGAGTAATCATTTTGCCAAGTTTATGAGAAGAAAGAGAAAAGTGAATAAAATTTTTAAAAAGTTAATATAGTTTCCATTTTGTATAACCATTTGGTAATGATGTAACCAATCATTCAGTTAACTACTGGCTGACCATTCAAATTAACCAATCAGATTTCTCTCTCTACACAAACCACACAATGTGATTTCTAAACTGGTAATTTAAAATACTTGTTCTTACTAAGAAATAGAAATATATTAAAATTTTTATTAATTAAAATATGAGGCACTTAACTAAAATTAAGGTATTAGCCATTTAAAGAAATTAAAAGTTTATACAAGAACAGTATTATAAAAATACCATAAAAGGCTGATATATCATGCCTGACCATGCTTCCTTTTGGATGTACTTTTAACACTAAGATTCTTTAAATCTCAATGTATGTGGGTAGTGAGTGGTGGGGGTAACAATTGGCAGCCAAATACAAACCTCCTGGGAGATAGTCTGAGTCATTTATTAGCAGGCTAAAATCATGAAAACCCTCTCCAAAGTTACAGTGGCATACACACACTTTTCACCACAGTAACACCTGTCATTGTCATTGATGGCATATAGCTTCTTATGATCCACTTGTCTCCACAGAAGAACTCAATCACAAACAGCACTATACAATTAGTGACTCAGTATAAAGTCTCCTAAATATTCTTAATGTGACCATTCTTTTATAAACATCAGAAAATGTACACCATTGACTTGGAAGACAAGTGTCCCAACGCCTAAGATGCTTAATGCTCATATCTCAGTCATGGCTGCCTGGCCAGGAAAACGAGCACCATGACGGACTCCTGCATTCTTCACATTGTGCTCATGGACACAGTCTGGGTAGTTTCTATGTGCGGTCTGGGGTGGGGGCAGAGCCCTTGTGTTCCACTGGTTTCCACCATGTTGACAGCAATCACTGGCAGCAGAGAGCCTGGATGGTTGGGGAGTTGGAAGGGAGCAGAGTTAGTGAACAGGAACAGGAGAAAACAGATGTGAAAGAGGTACTAAGGAAAAAGGCAATGTGATTAGCATGCACCACTGTTCTGAGCAGCTACCAACACCCAATTCATGCAACAACATTCTAAAACAACAAAGGGCAGAAATCCACAATTACATACAATTGAAAAATACAATTTGTGTGAGTAAACAGAAGCAGCTTAAGTAAATTAATTAAAGAGGAAATTTAAGAGAGCAAGACATTCTGTATCTGTCCCTGATATTGCTACAAAAATTCAAGGTAGAAATGTTTCGAGTTTCAATGAAAAGAAAAAAATATTCAAGGCCAGAGTGTAGTGGGACATGCCTCCTAATTCTAGTACTTGGGAGGCTGAGGCAGGAAGACTGCTGTAAGTTATAGGCCAGCCTGAAACTACACAGTGAGTTTAAGGCAGCCTAAACATAGCAAAACCCTTTCTTTAAAAAAAAAAAATGATAAAATGTAAAAAAACAATCGAATCCCCCCACCAATAGTCTACTTAATTCAAATATTTGAAAGAAGTCTACACAAGGACAAAGTCTATGTGGAGAAGGGCAACTGTGATAATTTTCCCTTAGGAGATTTCACAAAACTGAAATCCAGGAAACAAAATTAAGAATATTAAAAAAATTTCCTTCAGAAGCCATGCAATTTTATATCAGTGTTCTAAATTAACTATAGAGAATCATGGTATATTTCAGCCAAAGTTGAGAGGACATCAAAATGAAATACAACAGGTACAGATACTGTGATGAGATTTTAAGTCCCCTCCAAGAAACAATTTAATAATCATATTAGATACCTTTTACTGCAATTCTATAGAACAAGCCCACAGAACAATAAGAGTGAAACATGCAGACAATAGTTATAAGTTAAATGTGATCAGTCCTCCAATAGAAAGAAAATTTGCCAAGATTCAGCAAATCAAAATTTTATGATATGGCAAAAAAGAAGTACATTATTTCAAACTACAAAGGGAAAAATCACCCCAAATATAAAGTATCTAAAAATAGTGTTATTTTTCAAACTCAACCAAAATAACAATCTTTAACTTTTTCCCCAGGAAAATTGAAAAGGATTTTTCACAACAAATGTGGAAGGCTTTTTAAAAATAATAAAAATCTTTTCAACTGAAATTATTTTATTAGACTTCACCTAGAAAAATCATGACCCTCAACTTAAGTCTCTGAAAATTTAGAAAATTAGGCTGATGTTGTCTCATAAATTAAGATTTTCTAAACACTATTCAGTTTTCTTTTCTTGCTATTTATAATTTGTATATTTAAATTAAATGAAATGTTTCTCAAAGAGTGATACTTTAAATACTTGATAAATTGTGAGTTACCGATACATCAAATCACCCACCCAATTAATGATGCCATTTAAAACATATCAGCAATAAAAAGCTAACGATTTCAACAGGGTGTAGGTTTAGATTAAATTGGCCACAAATTGTCTGCAAGAAATAAGATGGTTCATTATTCCATTCAGGTGTTCAAACGTAGGGAGCATTATGAAATTTTGTTAATTTAACACTTTCTAAAGAAGGACTGTTCTATATTCTTTAACGTCAAAGCATGCAGAAGCACAGAACAAAATGCAGAATGTATTTTAATAAGTTTAGCTGGAGGATCCTTTCACTCCAAGACAGGCTAGAGCTATGTTCAGTTCCATGCCCTGTTGACACACACTGAGGCTCATCAGGTTTTAGGGATCAGCACTTTACTCCATTTCAGAAAAGGAGTTCTCAGCACAACCACATAAAAGGAGGACACACAGCTCCAAATTTTTCATTTTTCTTGCAAATTAATCAGATTCAATACACACACTCACTCTCTAGAGGATGCAGCAAAACAAGTGAATTGTGCCTAACAAATGAAACATATTTAAATATGTCCCCATTAAGTTGGAAAAACTCAAAGATTTAGTGTCTGAATAAAGGATGCAAACTAGCCAGACTATCATTCCTTATTAAAAGATAAGCATGTATTAAGATAGTTCTTTTATTGTTGACATTTCCGTACAACTTTTCCTTGACAATAAAATTCAATGGAAAGGAAACTTAAGGAAATGAAACATAGCTATTTATTGGAGCTGTATTTCTAGTAAGGAATTAAAAATCTTTAAATGGCTTTAAGACTAAAATTTGACATTTAGAAGCCTCATTCTTAAAACTAAGTGTGTGCCCACATGCACACAAGCACAAAGTATCCTCACCACAATCCCAAGAAACAGGAAAAAAAAAAAATTAAAGGAGAAATGTGAAATCCTCTTGATCTTAATCACAAGTTATTTGAAAAAGTCCCAAGAAACAGGAAAAAAAAAAAAAAAATTAAAGGAGAAATGTGAAATCCTCTTGATCTTAATCACAAGTTATTTGAAAATAAAGTAAAGATATGCCCAACCCTTAAGAGGAAAGCACCCTGCAGTTAGTTAAGCTAATAGTAATAGCAAAAAATATAAATCACATAGCAAAGACTAAATATCATCACCAACCACTGTTGACCCACCACCATGAAGGAAGAACTGGTTGCACAGAAAGCTGACCAAAACCTTGAGATCACCACAGAAACTCATTAGATTTCAGGTACTACACCAAATAAGAGCAAGAGAAAAAGAGAAAAATCTTATAAATTATCAAAGTTTAATAATAAATAGACACAAAATTTGAACAGATGATGTACCCAACATGACCACTCAATCACACATTTCCCAAGCAGCACCATCCTCCCCACTCAACTGATTAACTCCAATAAGCCACAAAGTATCCATATTTGTGAATTTACTATCAATCTAGAAAAAGACTCTGGAAAGCTAAATAAGTGAAACATCTTTGTTCTCATTATATTATCTCTGAATCTCCAAAATAGAGTATATTTTATGCTTTACTTTATAAGACTTTAATCATGTTTCCCCTTTGACTTTCTTTATATTTAGTCTTTAATGAAAAAAACATATCCAAAGTTGTAACATCATGCTGTATGGAAAAACATGTAACAAACATTTTCCTGTGGATCTGGGAAAGGTTTTTAGTGATTAGGAGGAAAACCTTTTCAACAGAGAACCATCTACCACTCCCAGATCACGCTACTCAAAACAAAGATACTTGCCTCATGCTCTTCATTTAGAGAACTGCACCCCTTCCTTCATCCACACACCTTAAGGCATTTCTATGCTCAACACTGTGCGTATCAGCTCACAAATATGAATAATTTGCTTTCAATCACAAAGTATTCCAAGATTATAGCATATAATTTAGAAATAATTAAACAAGCAATACTTTGGTTTAAGAAGTTAACAAACCATTTCCTGTCATGCTGATCTGCTCCAGAACTCCGTGGAAGATTCTCTATTTCCACCAGCACAGAACCAGAGGATGCGGCAGGAATCATAGGCACAGCAGACTTCACACCCCAAGCCTTTGGACAGAGATTATAAAAATCACCCATTTTGCTTAGATAAAAGATCTCACCAACAAGAGTACCACAACAAAGTCCTATCCACATAGTGGTAACATTTGAATCTTATATATCATCTTAGAGATAACGATTTAACTGAGTATTTATATTTTCTTAAATATCCTGGAATTACAGGGACAGAAAATGTTTTAAAGAAGAGCATCTGCTCTAATTATAACATCTTAAGAGAATGAAACAAGGAGTTAGATATTACTGAGCCACTTAAGAGATGAGGAAAAGAAAAGGTAATTAATATTATTTACTCTAATTAGCTACAATGTTCTAGTGTTTCTAAAGTTTAATATCTTACCTGTTGTGACTCATTATTCTGAGTTGAAACATTGTTGTGAACACTGTAATGGGGGAAAATTTATTAAGAAATTTCATCTAAAATTCCAGGGCCTTAAGACTCTACATACAATAAAGAAAACAGCATCAAAGACATCAATGTTTTATTACTAGTAGAAAAAAAAAAATCTACCAGTAGCATCTAAAACTAAAAATGTCAGATGTGGGCTGGGGATTTAGCTCAATGGTTCAGCCACCTGCCTTGCAAGTGCAAGATCCTGAGTTCAATCCCCGTACCAAAAAACAAACACAAAACAAATAAAACAAAAAGAATGTCAGATGCCCAGAAAACATTTATAGGCAAATGCATGCTTTTCTATAGCTGCTCATTTGATGTTTCCATAAATATTTATTTTAATTTTGCTTTACTATATGTGCTGCCTAAGTGAGCACTTAATTTTCCTTTAGACATTTACTATTAATTTTGTTTATTTACTGGACAAAGACAGAAAAAGAGAAAGAAAAGCATAATCAATTCCTTAAAGACATCCAGTACAAAAACCCACATAAACTTCCCAGTCACTTCTTGTATACATTCCTACCCACTCGGTATTTTCCAGTCAGCAACAACTCAAAACTTTATTACTCCAAAGGCTTTAAGATAAACTCAGCCAGAGATTTCTATGTGTACTCTCCTCTCCAAATGATTTATACATTTTTAAATTCTGAGTTTTTAGTCTATACACCCTATTGTGCCCCATCCAACCTGCTCTTTATTCCAAAAAAACTTTAAACCCCTTCAACCTGTACTACAGCAAACAGAAACTAACTATAAAATAGCATTCAATAAAATAATGCATTCAATAAAATAACTCAAACATGAAATATTGCCCCATCAGAATGAAGGAAAAATGCCTGCTGACTTCAGGTATTGTAACATAATTGGTATCTCTGAAGTAAAAGTACAACTAATGTAAAAGAAGATGCATTAAGTTTTCAGAAGAAAACTCCCTGAAAAAAGAAAATATTCTACAGATTTCATGGCAGCACGATTCTCTAGGAAAATGAGATGCAGAATTAAGTATAACCAAACACTTATCATTAAGCTCCTTCAAGGATAAGGCACACTAAGAAGATTTAAAAGCAGGGTTCATGTCTACCCATGGATGCCACTTCCCACTTAGGGCTGGGGATTCAGCTCAGTGGCACTATGCCTGCCTTGCAAGCACAAGGTCCTGAGTTTGATCCCTGGTACCATTAAAAAAAAGGGGGGCAAGCCAATGACAGGGCCAGGTTGGCACACACTTCTTCACAGAAATAGTCAAGAGCAGTATAAACTGGCTAAGGTGTCATTCTACTAAAGGCAAGTTTCTCAAACACAAAATCTGAACAGAAAATCCAGAAGCATTTCTTAGGGGGTGAGAACTAAACAAAAATTACCTCAAAATGAAAGCCAATCAATTAAGAAAGAACTCAAGATTAAAGAGGTCTTATGAAAATGCCAGGTAATGAGGAGTGGAGCCATTTATATCCTACTTTTTTGCTTTTTGTAGTTTTTTTTTTTTTTTTTGGAGACAGGGTCTCACTATGTAGTTGAGAATGACCTGGAACTATGTAGCCCAGGCTGGTCTCGAACTCACAGCGATCCTCCTGCCTCAGCCTCTCGAGTGCAGGGATTACAGGCATGCGCCACCACACCCAGCTATATCCTACTTTTTATGAGCTACATTTCAATTACAGATGGAGTCAGCAGAACTTGCGCTACTGTCCTCTAGAGTCAAACTCAGATAGTGCCACTAACTCTGCTCTCTGCTCCTCAGGTTTCTCATATTCATGAGAATTAAAGTCATTAATTATCAGCAAAAGTACAAAAAGTGATAAAACCAACCAACCAGAAAAGAAATTTTTAAAGCTACTGTTTAATCAGGATAACCAGATTAAATGATTAATCTGTTTTCAAAAATTTTAACACACAATAATTATACATATTAATTGATACAGTGTGACACTTCTACAGATGCACACAGTATGCACTGGTTAAATCAGAGTAATCAGCATTCTTCTTCCTTTTTACTATCATTTATGTTTGGAGCCTTTTAGGTCCTCTCTTCTAGATCTTTCTAAAATATACAGTAAGTCGATTTGAAAAACCTCTTAATATAACCTAACTGATCTCCTTTTCCTCAGTCTAATTTATTAAAGGTAGTTTTTAATAATTGTTTACTTACAATATATAATTTGAAAGATTGAGTTTAAAGGAATTTGTAATTTTACCTTCAAACCAATTACAAAATAATTAAAACACAAGAAAAATTGAGTGTGGATCCACTGCCAAGGTAAATGTAAAATATATATTTCTTTTTTTTTCCTTTTTTGGTACTGGGGATGGAATTCAGGTCCCTGTATTTGCAAAGCAGGCGCCAGAACCACTGAGCTAAATCCCCAGCAGCCACAATTTCTTTTTACTGTGTTGTTCTTCCCAATGTTATTCTCTGAAGCTGTCCCTTTATCTGGGAAAAACTTCAGTTGAAGTGATGAATAAAAGATGAGCACGGAAATACTGTTTTACTTTCAGGAGTATGAAATTATTGAAGAATTATTTTTCATTGCTAACTTAGTCATTGCTTTCCTCTTTAAATAATCAAATGTAGTAACTGCCTTTTTACTCTTATACCCCTCTATGTACTTCTTTTCCTCTCCTTTCTGTTCATTCAGTCTGTTTAAAAAGACCAAGAAGCCATTTATAACAGTACACATGTAGTCCCAGCTACTCAGGAGGCTGAGGCAGAAGGATCACTTGAGCCTGTTTTTTTTTTTTTTTTTTTTTGAGACAGGGTCTCACTATGTAGTTGAGTCTGACCTGGAACTCACTATGTAGTCTAGGCTGGTCTCGAACTCACAACAACCCTCCTGCCTCACCCTCCCAAGTGCTGGGATTACAGGCATGCACCACCACGCCCAGTCATGAGCCTGTAAGTTTGAGACCAGGCTATGCCAAGACCCACTCTCAAAAATGAAGAAAAAAAAAAGTACTGTCTAGTAAACAAAATGTTGACTATTCTTTAAATGTCTCACCTCTTCTTAATATACTTGGTACAAGACTCACAAGAAAGTTATTGGGAGAAAAAAAAGGGTATAAGGAAAATTACTGCCATCAGCCAATTAAAAAATCTAAAACTGCAGAGTACATGGTCAAAATACTTTTTATGTCAAACTGTTGTGTCCTTTCAAAAAATATTGTTTTCCATGGTTCACTGGAGTGAAACCATTCATGCAGAGATCTGCAAGGCAAAAGTAAAAGGCATGCATACCAGTTCAAGCATGAGTTCTCTCAAGCACTGTTACAAATCATGCTCAATAACCTTCCGGAAAGTCAGGGTTCTAGGCTATTCTTATTAAAAATTATAAAGGTGTTATCACTTTAGTATCTAATTTCTGCTACTAACTTGAGCTGAAAGCATTACTGATATGTTTAATTTTAATTCTGAGATTTTTTTATGCTCAATTTTTTTCATCAGAAATGTATATTTTAGGACACTTTTGTTATGATTTGGATCTAAAGTGTCTCCAATGGCTGTCATGTATTCAGAAGCGAGGCTTTTGGAAGCTGGCTGGATCATGGGGAAGCTACACATCAGTGGATCAGTCCACTGATGAGTTCATAGCTAAATGATCTGTTAGGTAGTGGGGCTTGGTTGGAAGAGGGTGCCACTGGGAGTACGTTTTGCAGGGTAACGCTCCCTGCTAGGTCCTACCTTTTCTGCTTCCTAGCTGCCACAGGGTGAACAACTGGCCTCCATTATGCCCTTCTGCCACGCTTCCTTGGAGTCAGGCAGCCAGCTGTAGATTGAACCCTCTGAGAATCCTGAGCCAAAATAAATATCTCCTCTTTTAAATTGCAGGTGTCAGGTATTTTGTTCCAGCCACATGAAAATGACTAAATTTTACAGGATCTTTTATTTTGCAAATATAGTGCCACCTTAGTTCACAAACACTTGTTTGCAAACTCCACATTGGGTGACTAACATGATCGTGGAACAAATTAAGTTCATGACTGAACTGTTAAGTCTTAATTTTTCAACATCATATAATGGCTTAAATCCTCTTTCATATTTCTACAAACTTCACTGTATTTCTTCATTACTTTAAGATATAATATTTTGTCCCACCCTCCTTTTCAGGAAAGCAAGACATAATCTATTAAACAAAATGTTTAAAAAATACATGCTATCTCTGAAATTTCTCCACCAAGTTTCTATTTAAAACTTTATCTTAGAAATAAATGCAAGAGGGCCAGGGTTTAGCTCAGTGGTTGTCCTGCCTGCTTTGCAAGTGCAAGGTCCCAAGTTCAATCCCTGGTACCAAAAAAAAAAAAAAGAAAAAAGAAAAAAGAAAAAGAAAAAAAGAAAAGAAAAAAAATGCAAAGAAATAAAAGTGTACACCCTAGACAAGGTATAAAATTTTGGCATTTTACCTAATTAAATTTTCACAATAAAAAGAATCCTTCACTTTCTCCCTGTTACTTTTAACAGCCTTCTAACAACTAAAGAAATTTGAGAGTAGTCTTGGTTCAAAAAAGCAGAGTACTTTTGTAGTGAATCACCAATCAGAGCCTGGCTTTAATAGCTTTCCAAGTGAAAAAAACTTAATAAGATAATTTCAAGGTGAAACTGACCACAGGAGTTCATACCTCAAAACAATACAGATAAATTTTATAAGAATCTAGATTTATGGGTATGGTCTGAGTCAGATTCTTTTACAGACATTCTAGCAGACCTAAATACATACCAGTCTTGAAAAGCTTTGTAACACTGTGCATACACTAATACATACTAAAATTAATGGAACTACTGAAAGCATGTTTAATACATATAAGGGATTAAAATCATACAAAGCATGTTCTCTAACCACTATGGAATAAAAGTAGAAGAAAATTTAAGACATTCACAAATAAACAACATATTCCTAAGTAAGTCATAAAAATAAAATAGAACTTGTCAAATCACAAGGTAAGTTAGAAAGTAATTTGAGATGAACAAAAAAAAAAAAAGAAAGAAAACACAAATGATGGAATATAAGTAGTTTTAGAAGAAAATTTAAAGCTGAATTATGTTAAAAGAGGACCAGGGATTTAGCCCAGTGGTTCTGCCGCCTGCCTCACAAGCCCAAGGTCCTGCCTGAGTTTGATTCGCCAGTACCAAAAAAAAAAATCTGGATGCAGTAGCACACACCCATAACCCCAGCTACTCTGGAGGCTGAGGCAAGACAGCCTCGGCAACATAGTGAGATCTATTAAAATTTTTTAAAGAGGAGGCGGAAGGTGTTAGCTCAGTAGCAGAGCATTATCTTAGCATGAACCGAGTTCAATCCCCAGTACTGAAAAACACACACAAGAATAAAGATCTCAAATAAACCCTAGAGGAGACAGAACAAAAGAGTGCTAGAGTGAACATTAATGAAAGGAAAATAAATCAGTGAAATCAAAAGCTTGTTCTATTTGAAAGGGCAAAAAGCGACAAATCTCGGGCCAGGGATTTAGCTCAGTGGTTTGGTGGCCTGCCTTGCAAGCGCAAGGACCAGAGTTCAATCCCCGGTACAAAAAAAAAAAAAAAAAAAGAGAAAAAACTACTCTAGCCTGACCAAGAAAAAAATTAGTCTAATAAAAAAGGAATGAGAGGTGGTAGAATACGAGAAAGGAAAACTGGAATAATATGAACTGTGTGCCAAAAATCACATAACTTGTAGGAGACTGAGAAATTTTAGACAGATGAACTCCCAAATCGACTCAAGATAAAGAAGAAAATCTGTATAGTTCTATAATAGTAGACTCAATTAAGAATTTAAAGATTTCAAACGGTGAATTTTACCACAAATTAAAATACCAATTCTTTACAAACTCTTCTCAAAAATAGAAGAGAATAATTATAAACATATTTGGTTGAACTCTCATACTAAAAGCAGTCTCAGACATATATTAAAACCTTCAGACCAAAATATTAGCAAACTAAATCCAGAAATATTTAAGGGGAGACTATATACCATGGCCAAGTGGGATTTATCCTAAAAATAAAATTGCTTATTTGCAAAATCAGTCTTTGTTCCTTGAGGTACTTATGTGTAAGGATTATAATTATCTTTATATCCTCAGTCACTTGCCAGTAACAAATGTGATTCTCATGCTATACGCACTCCCGTCCCATTCTTTATTTCTTCAAACTACTTTATTTTTCTTCTTGTCAATTTGATCTGGCATTGTGTGTTCATTTCCCAAAATATTCTGTATCAGTTCCTACCTTCAAGATATTACTCACCTGAATTCTTCAGATTTTGGTGTACTTGCTGACAGAATAAAAAAGATAACATCACATTAGTCTCACTCTACATATTAAATTGCTTCACTATTCCTCAAGAAAAGCCTTGGTTAATTATTTTATAAAAGTCATGTTTCCTAGCCAGAGATTTTTTTTTTTGGTGGGGAATTGGGAATTGAACTCAAGAACTTATGTTTGCCAGGCAGTTGTGGTGCTAAATCCCTGGCCTCAGAGATTTAAAAATCTTTATTTTACAAAAGTGTTTCTGAAGTTCATACTGGTAAAGTCAACAATGGCAATTATTTCCATTTTTAAAATAATGTGTTAAGTATATACTTCTTCTTTTAAAAGTTAAACTATCTACAAGTCCTGTGGTATGACCTGACTGCTTCTGAATCGTTGCCAGTGGAAAAAAGGAGTAAATGAGGTTTTAAACCATCATCAACTAAAAAAAAAACAAACAAAAACAAAACCATCACAAACTAAGATGGTTTCATTTATAGCTATATGTTGCAAGACCCCAGGATGTGAGCCACAGAACTACGAAAGAAAAAAAGATATATTTATATATTATTTAATTTATAGCCACACTAAAATTAAAAATAAATTAAAGAATGAATACTGCCAAATATGAGCTCAACACAATTGTTTTTGGACAATGGACATACTTAAAATTCAATCTGTATTTTAATACAAATTCAGATTCAAACTCAAACATAAGAGCTGAGCGTGGTGGCGCACGCCTGTAATACCAGCACTTGGGAGGCTGAGGCAGGAGGATCTCTGTGAGTTTGAGACCAGCCTGAGCTACATAGTGAGTTCCAGGTTAAGTCTCAACTACATAGTGAGACCCTGTCTCAAAAAACAACAAACAAACAAACAAACAAAAAAAACTCAAACATAAATTTTATTTGTCAAAGTAAACCATAATGAAGTATCTTAATTAGTTTGGAAATATGTATATATGATATATATTGATTAGATTTTAAAGCTACATTTAACAGAATTCTTAACAATAATATGATACAATATGAAATCATTTTTAATTAAAACGTGCCATCACATGCTCATGTTTTTAATAAATTCCTAAGGGGATTAAGAAATGTTTTATTATAAGGTCTGTAAGTCAAAAAGGGAGAGAAAATGTTGCTCTACAGAAAATCTGAAACAGATAATACAAAAACTGAATACAACCTGAATTAATATAAAGCTTAATGTTAGCTAACAATATAGATAATTTTCCCTTGTGTAGCTTACAGAACTTTTTAAACTAGAGTAGTACTTTGGTTGATTGGAATAGACCCAAGGAGATTCAGATATCAGATTCAGATTCAGATTCCATTCAAGTGACTATCAGTACATGATAAACTATCAGAGAGAACAGTGTTTTGAGACAGGGTTGTACTTCACCTTGTATTTGTAGAGTTCGTCGAGAATATCGTTTGCTGGGTCTTCTCTCAAAGGATGCTGATCTTCTTGCTTTATTAGTTTTTGTAGTCTGATACTCAGTTTTCCCACTAAAATAAACATGGAAAGTCAACTGAAGAACCTGAAGCCTATAGTAACCAGGCACACGTGAACTTCACCCTAAAGGAACTACTACTACTACTAATCTTAATATGTCCCTTTTACCACAGTACTCTTTCACTTTAAGCTTTTATGAAACACACAACAGATTACATTGCTATTTTTTCTTAAGCATGCGCATCATCTAGGAACACAGTAAATAACTCTGGAATGTCCAGGCTGTTATGGAATGCTTCCTCATTTACACTCCTCAGTGCAAAGTGTACATTTAGAACAAGATTATCAGCTACTTTTTCTAGTTATAATATACTTATCAGAACAATTTTCCAAAAACATTAAAAAAACTACCATCCTGCTTCTTTGATTTCCATTTTAATTCTGGTAAGAAAATGTCTCCCCATTTTTAAAAAGGTACAATAGAAGCTCACTTACATGAATTTCTACACAACTGTCTTGCCACATTATTAGTATTATCCATTCCTTCTTTAACTTTTAACTCACAAACTGAAGCTCATAGCATGATAAAAACTCAAAATTAAGAATCTGCTACTGTGCAGTATAATCTGGAACATTTCTTTTTTCCTTTTTCTTTTTGTTTTTTTTCAAACAGGGTCTTGTTATATATGGCTCAGGTTGGCCTTGAACTCATGTATTCCGGACTGGCCTCGAACTCATGATGATCCTCCTGCCTCAGCACAAAGCATGTGCCACCACACCTGGCAATCTGAAACATTTCTAACTCATGACAAGCATACAAGAAGTATGCGAGAATGGCACTTCACGTTAATAAAAACAGGGCAGAGGATTTAGCTCACTGGCGCCATGCCTGCCTGGCAAGCACAAGGTCCCAAGTTCGATCCCTGGTATACACACACACACACACACACACACACACACCCAAAAAACCCACCCACAAATATTTAGCTTAATCCAACTCAAGGCAAGATATCCTTTTTACTGTATGGCATTCTAGCAGTTAAAGAATTCATGCAACTCTGGTCCTTAAATGAATTGGTTAACATATAAAGTCTCAAAAGGGCTATAAAATCCATAATACAATGACTGTGACTTCACATCTATTCAATAAATTATAGACAGTAAGAATATCACTTTTTAATTTTGGCAAGTGGATGACTTTGCCAAACTACTTAATTTCTCCATGCCTTATTTTCCACACTATAAAACAAGAGGTTAGCCTATATACAAAAATGAAAGATACAGAAAGCTGGTATTAAAATAAACCTGTATCTAAATCGTGATCCTAGTCGAATAAATCCTGAGCGATGAGAATTCTTTTGGACAGGGCCTCGGAGGCGGAAAAAGGCATGATGCTCCACAGCACATTTCCACAAATGCTTGCATGCTTTTGGATGATCCAGTCTAAACACAAATGTATGCTCCTGCTCTTTGCCCTGAAAAAGAAAAGGACATAAGAAGAGATATCTACTAGGTAAAAGAGTCCTACCTCTTATTTCTGAGATACAAACACAATCACAACAATACCAAGAAGCAAATAATAAAGCATCTGTTTTGCTCTCTGGAACTCATTTAATTTTTGTTTGTTTGTTCTTTTTTAGCACTAAGGATCAAATCCAGGGAAAACACTTTACTACTGAGGTACAACCCCAGCTTGAAACCCATTTTTATAGTTATCTACTTAAAAAGATAGAGCTGAAATCAAGCTATTTTCTAAACTAATATAAGTTTATTCATAAGCGTGTACCCTCTCCTTATTTGATCTCATTTATCAGAAAAACATAAAATGAGGATTCATCTGCTATCCATAGAAATGTCATAATTTAAGGGCTGGGGATGTAGCTATGCGGTAGAGTACTTTTCCAGCATGTGAGGCCTCACATTTGACCCCAGCATTGCAAACAATAATAATTATTATTTAAAGGATCATACAAGATCTGACCATATGTATGAATAGCCTTAAAAATGCTGACTTTTTTCTCCTAATAACCACACTGCTAGAAATAAGATTATAATAGTTAAAATCCATAGGCATTTTCCTCAGGATTTCACATGAATTGCTCCAAAGAAGAGATACTATTACTAGCATAATTTCATAAAGCAAATTGAGATTAAAAGGAAATTAAGCCCAAAGTCACAAAGCTAGAAGGCTAGGAAACCAGATTTTGAATCCAGCCAGTCTGACTCTAGAGCCTACAGCAGCTAACAATTAAGTTACACTGCCTTTGTAGGAAAAATGATTTTCTGTACTATGTAATTTTCTATAGTAAAACCCCAAAATGTCCAAAAAACCAAAATATCTAGGAATCAACCTAACAAAGGAGACAAAAGATCTCTACACTGAAAATTACAGCACTCTTAAAAAAAAAAGAGATCAAAGAGGATATAAGAAGATGGAAAGATGTCCCTTGCTGCTGGGTAGGATGAATCAACATAGTGAAAGTGGTCATACTTTTAAAACTTCTATACAGATTCAATGCAATCCCAATTGAAATCCCAACAATGTATTTCACAGAACTTGAGAAAACAATCCAAAAATTCATCTGGAACCAGAAGAGACCTAGAATAGCAAAAAACATTCTAGGCATCAGAGACATGGCAGCAGGTATCAAAATTCCCAACTTGAAACTATAGTCCAAAGCCACTGTGATAAAAACAGCATGGTACTGGCAAACAGACCTGAGGATCAATGGAATAGATTAGAAGATGCAGAAACAACACCAGACATATTCAGCTACCTCATCCTTGACAAAGGATCAAAACACCCTCTCTGGAGGAAAGATAGCCTCTTTAATAAATGATGTTGGAAAAACTGGATTTCAACTTGCCAAAGATTAAAACTAGATACCTATCTTTCAACAAGCACTAAACTAAAATCCAAGCGGATTAAAGATCTAAATATCAAAATAGAAACACTAAACTTACTGGAAATTAAATTAGGTAGAATTCTCGAAGACATTGGCATAGGAGAAGACTTTATGAACAAATCCTCAGCAGCACAAGAACTTGCATAAAGAATAAACAACTGGGATCTCATTGTATTAAAAAGTTTTTGCAGTGCAAGAGGATTCACCAACAGAGCTAAAAGACAACCTACAATGTGGGAAAAACTTTTTGCCAGCTACTTCTCTGACAAAAGACTACTATCTAGAATATATAAAGAACTCAAAAAAATCAGATGCCCCCCCAAATACAAAGACCCAATTAAAAAATGGGCGTCTGAAATTAACAGACATTTCTCAAAGTGGAACAGCAAATAAACATATGAAAAAAAATATTCAATATCACTGGTCATTCAAGAGATGCAGATGAAAACAACAGAGATTCCACCTTACCCCAGAAAGAATGGCTGCTATCAAGAAATCAACCAAATCGGGCATGGTAGCGCACGCCTGTAATCCCAGCACTAGGGAGGCTGAGGCAGGAGGATGCCTGTGAGTTTGAGACCAGCCTGGGCTGCATAGTGAGTTCCAGGTCAGTCTCAACTACATAGTGAGACCCTGTCTTGAAAAAAAAAAAAAAAATCCAATACTGGCAAAGTTTCAGCAAAATTCACATACTTCTTTAACTTTCAACTACTGTTTGTGAGACTTCACACTGGTACAAACAAAATGCATTACTACTAATAATAAATAGAAGGAAAAAGTGAATTATAAACTGTAAACCAACTGGAAACATAAAAGTGTGTATATAAAACATATGGAAAAAACACAGGAAGTCATTTAAATTGAGAGAAATACTACTGAAATTACTTGAAAACTGAAAAAAATTAGCAATCATTCCAAAATTTTATTGTGAAAATATTTAAACAGAAAAAATCGAATACCCATATATAGTGTGCATAGTTGACAACCACTAATATTTTGCCTAATTTACTTTTATCTGTATCCTTTTATCTATGTCTTAAAGTTTATTAATTTACATACAGTAAGATTTTGAACATCTGTAAGTTGTATGTACACAGTCATATAACTACCACCAAAAATCAGGTCGCAGAATAGCTCTCTCATCCCCAAAAAATGCTCTTCACTCTGTCCCTTTGTAGTGAAACTATAACCAATAATTTGTTTTTTGGGTTTTTTTTTTTGGTCTCTAGGGATTGAACTTGAGAACTTGTGGGGCAGATGGTGGCACCACTGAGCTAAATCCCCAGCTGATAACCAATAACCAGTAATGCTGATTTAGTCTCTCTTCTGATGGGCTTGCCTTTCCCAAACAGCGCATAATCCTTTGAGTCTGGCTTCTTTTACCTGGCAGAATGCATCTGAGATGCTTCTATATGTGTATTAATCAGAAAATGAATTTTATTGAATAAAAAAATCCTTAGTTCAAAATGCTTTATTAAAGATTATTAGGTAGTTTCTTTTACTAATCTTCTTGATCAGTTAAGGGATAGTTACTTGAATATAGCCTGTTACACACCTTAAATATATTATCAATTAAGAAACAAGAATTTTTATATTATTTTTAATCTTAATGGCAGAAAACCATATTTTACAGCTGGTGTGACCTGAATCAGTAAATTACTGTAAGTATTAATTACTAGGATTCGATTCTAGTTTTCTTTTAAACAGTGAGGTACATTCCCCTTTTAGAATGTAAGATACCACATAACATAGTCATTGTTAAGTTAGTAATACAGTACCATTCCTACCTGATCATCATCTTCTACCACCACCAGAGTTAATTTATTCTTCTTAAAATCCAATCTGGTTATCTTGGGCCTGCAATAATATGAGATCAACATCAGATTTAAAAAAAAAAACAAAACTTTTTAAGTACATTTAATCATTTAACTTCTGAAATGAATACTGGTAAGAGGTTAAACATGACTTGTCACAAAAATCACTAACCCAAAAGAAAGGTTACAGAAAAATACATATTTCAAAAGCAGTAATGTTTCAAAACATTAACGCTGTGAAGGAAAAAATATCAAGAAATCTATATATTTCATAAACCCCAAAGTATGCTGTAAGAAATTCTCCAGACCTTGGTAAAACTGTTTCAGTGTTAAAGGAGCACCACAGGAACTGACTACAGGAAAGACCATTTTTAAAAAAGCATAAAGTAAAACATTACTTATTAATATTACCTATTAGGGTCTTCCACTCTGTTTTCTATAGCAATCTTAATGTAAAATATATACATGTGTGTGTGTGTGTGTGTGTGTGTGTGTGTGTGTCTGTGTGTGCATGTATGTGTGTGTGTGTGTGTGTGTGTGTGTATATATATATATTTTTTTTTTCTTTTCTTTTTAAAAAGACAGATCCTGCTAATTTGTAGAGGCTACCCTCAAACTCACAGTCATCCCGCCTGAGCCTGCCTAGGTGTCAGGATTACAGATGTGTGACAGGTAAGCTAAAATGTCATCTTTCACTGGCTTGGGGGCTGCCTGGAAAATTAGTAAAGCAAGCACTGGAGTGGGTCACAGTGGTTCAATCTAGGGTCCATAGCTAGTCTCTTCACCTTCCTCTCTAGTAGTCGTCCCCTGCTATTTCCTGGCCACTCTAAACTAAACATCTTTCCAGTATCATGTTCTTGCACCGTGCTATTTCTACGCAGTCCTGTGGGTTGTGACCTTGGGGACTACATATGGTCTCTCACCCTTCCTCGTTGGCACTGTTCCCTTGCTGTTTTTCAGCCACCATGAGGTAAGCACTATTCCGTTGCCATGCTCTTCTGTAATATTGTTTCTGTCTTGGAGCCAGCAGACCAAGGACTGAATCCCTTGAAGCTGTGAGCCAAATTAAGCCTCTCTTTAAGTTGCAGGTGTCGGGTATTGTGATTCAGTGAGGGAAAACTGACTAATACGCCATACCCTGATCAGGAAATTTATCTTTTTAAAACATATAAACAAACAAACAAACAAACATCCAGAAAACAACTCATTTTATGGCCCACTTTCCATCTCTATCTTTCCACTTATAACCAAAATTCTAAACCACCTACCACATTTGAATTCCACGCTTGTATTAACTACAAATCTAAACACATTGTGACTTTCATGGACACTGACTAATCTTTTCACTTTCATTGCAATCTTATGAGGAGGCACAAATGGTTTTTCTTTGCCTAAAGAAACCTTTCGGCATGCAGCAAATTCCATCGGCCCAGAGGGTAGCATGGATATACCACAGAATTACCACCCAAAGACTGAGGAGATAAATCCCCAGCTTTTTTATTCATCAAGGAACAAGACACACAAAACCTGAGGTTTAAATTATGGTTACAAAATCCACATAAAATGTACCCCTGATGTGAAAGTAACTTGTAATATATAAATATGGAAGATAAAAGTCAGAACACAGAATAGCCAAGCTCAATAGAAGGGGTAAAAATACTAACATCCCTCCCCCATTACACAAGAACGGGCAAAGGGAGTACTGTATCTGCAGAAAAAGAAATACTAAATAGTGACACAGCCACACAAAGGGAGGGGATGTCCATGTGAATAGCACTTAATAAAAACAAATTTAATTGGGCATGGTGGTGCACACTTGTAATCCCAGCACACTGGGAGGCTGACGCAGGTGGAGGATTGCAAGTTCAAACTCAGCATGGACAACTCAGTAAGATCCTGTCTTAAACAACAAAAAGAACTAGAAATGTGATTCAATGTGAAAGGCCTGGGTTCAATTCCCAGTACTGCAAAAAACAAACAAACAAAATATATATAATATTAAGGCATATATTTTGATACACCTTGAAACTAATGGAAAATACAGTTAGAAAAATTTTATAAATTGCCACTGAGGAGTAGAAATAAAAAAGAAAAAGAATAGGGCAGGAAACAGTTGCTTTCATCTGCAAGCTTTTCAGAACTATTTGATTTCCAAATCTCTTTTATATGTTAACTCAATATAGATGTTTTTACTCATTTAAAACCAAAACAAGTGCAAGATCCTGAGTTCAATCCCTGGTACAAAAAGCAAACAAACAAACAAACAAAAAACAACAGTAAGTATCCCTGACATTAATTGTGCTTACCAAAAAAATAAACCAATTTTGGTCTCGCCTTCAAAAACAAGGACTCCTGTTGGGGTTAGTCCCAAACTATAGTCATTCCCATCTCTAGCCTAATTTAAGAAGAGAAAAAAATGTGTCAGTTTAATTTGCATCCATCAGCTTTCACATTTTCAAACAACTATTTAATTTTTATTTTAATTTTTTATTTCCTGACTTACTATACACAAAGGTAATAATATACAAGATGTTTTCAACAATTAAGGTATGCAAACACACTCTTTTTTTTTGGTACCAAAGATCTAACTCAGGACCTTGTACTTTTGAGGCAGGCAGCAGCACCAAGGAGTTAAATCCCCGGCCCTGCAAACTCACATTCTTTGGAAAACTCATGCATACCTTTTTCCCCTAAAGTGACTGATACACTATACACCAGTCTCCTCCTATCCAGGATGGAATAAATTCCAAAGCCCCAAGCAATGACTATAAACCATGGTTAGTACCTAACCCTACAGATACAATATTTTTTCCTACACACACATACCTATGATAGTTTAATTTATAATTTATATGCAGTAAGAAGCTAGTAATAAAATAGAAAAATTGTAACAATATACTGTAATATGAATGCAGTTACTCAAAATACCTTGTTATTTCCAGAATTTTCCATTTAATTTTTTTGGACTTTGCCTGACTGAAACTGATATCATGGAGAGCAAAACCACAGATAAAGGGGGTTCATAAAGGAGGACTACAATGGTTATAAGGTATCCCTTCAAGAAAAATGGGTATGTAAACTCCCACTAGAAACAAAGTTCTATTCAGATTCTTCTCATATTAAATTTACCATTTAAATCAAAACTCTGGAAAAGACTGCTTTTCTGGAAATATGTTGTTAGTTAAGCTATAAGTAAATTGCTACTCGAGCGGTTTTACAGTTATCAAAGTCCTCTCAAGCTTTAAATTTTCAACTTTGCTTCCTCAACTATTTTAACAGACCCTGGTGAGTACTGAGCTTAAGTGATATATTATGAAACAAAGATTAAAAGTGGTTTTAAGGGCTAGAGGTATAGCTCAGTGGTAAAGCACTTCCACGGCATGTACAAGGTCCTAGGTCTGATTCCCAACACCATATGCACATACAATGTGGTTTAAAAGCTTAAAAAGTTTTTTTTCACAGTTAAAAAAATAACTTCTAAACACCAATACTGTTTTGCAAACTATGGTAATTTCTCTTCTAATAATGATAATTCCATTTTACTAATTCAATATTTAACATTGGCCTTTCTACTATACAAAATACCCAGTGCTGGCCTATCCAAACTCCATGGCTTCCAACATACTGTAAAATTCAGTCATGCCAAGTTCCAAAGAAATGAATTCTTTAAAAGGCACAATAACACAGTGCTTACCTTAACCACATGCATATCAACCCCATACATTTCTAGCCATTTGGCTTTATTCAGATAATTGGTTTCAGCTTGTGCTGGTGTCTGACCTCTGGAAATTAAAAGATAGTATTTTTTAAAATAAATATAAATTTAATTTTCTATCAAAGGTAGAAACAAAAGAAAATAAATGAAAAATGACTACTGTGTTGATGTTAAGAAAATATGATCGGGCTGGGGATTTAGCTCAGTGGCACCACACCTGCCTCGCAACCACAAGGTCCTAAGTTCAATCCCCAGTACCAAAAAGAAAAGAAAATATGATCAAATAAATACCTGCATTCCTTCCATTTCTCAAAAATAGCCAGTTCCATGTCCTCAGTCTGAATGGGCACAAACCTGAACTCAGAGACAAGTTCAGCACTATGTTCAGCAAGATCGTAGTCACCAAGTTCAGCTACAAATATAAGTTTCATAATGTTATACTGTGTTAAATGTACATTAACAATGTTTATCATTTCTTTCCTGAAAAATTCTTCTTCAAAACTCATTTTGTGAATAAAAGTTATTAAGAAGATTATTTCTAGGTATCTATAATTAATTTACATGCACAGAATGTGATATCATATAACATTGTGTAGTCCATGTCTTCCTAGAATATAAGATTATTAACTGGAAATAAACAAGTAAGAATTACCACCATCACCACCACCACACCACCCCTCTAAAAAATCAGTGAGAAGAAGCAACAGGAAAAGAACAGGACAATACAGATTCGTACACTCATCTGTGCTTATCTCTGACCTGTGAGTTTGGGGAGAAAGGGAAAGTGTCCAGTTTCCTCCCTTCTCCTCTCCTTATATATTTTTGCAGTGCTGGAGACTGAAACCAGGACCTCCCACAGTTTAGGCAAGTCCTTTATTACTGAGTTGCATACAGAGCTCCAGTTTTCTATGTTTGAAATTTTTTCTTTTAAAAGAAAGTTTTACTTGTAATAAATTAAATATCCAGTTAAGACAAGAAAAATACATGAACTACCTTGATATAATAAACTGTACTGGTAATCAGTCACAATTAACTAAATTCTTTAGTCCATATTGGAGATGTATTTATTAAGCACTGCTACAAGTCAAACATTTGTTAAAATATACAAAGATGTATGAATCTCTAAACAGTATACACTCTGGATGTATGGAAACTTACATAATGAAGCACAAACAATATATGAGGCAATTAGTAAATGGTATAGTGAAAATGACAGCTCTACAACAGCACTAAATAAGTTTTTAGAATTAAACTCTTCTGCAGGAAATAATAAAGTACAAGAGTACTTCCAAACAACCGTTTGTGGGCTAGGAGTGTAGCTCAGTGGTTAGAGCACTTGTCTAGTATGCATGAAGTCCTGGGTTCAAATCCTAGCACCACCTTCTGCCCAGAATGCAACTATATGCTCTGATCATTACAGTGCAAGAAACACAGCATTCCTAAACTAGTTATCAGTTTGTTTTTATACAGACAGGAAGACAAGTTTTAATTTGAAGACCGACTAGAATAGTAAATGAAAGTAGGCAGAAAAAAATTTAAATTAGCAGAAAATTTTTGAAGTACATGAATTTTCTCATCACCAGTTCCTATTATCAACAAGAAAACATGCTTTCTCTAATAACAGACAAACAAAATAAGCAAATATATTAGGTTTACTATAAAACATAAAATTCAGTCTTACTTATACAATGGAAAATATACTACTACTGATCTTAGAGGGACTGGGACTAAAGATAGAATCGCTAAAAAAAGCACAGAATTAAAGTCTTGATCATCATTAAACATTGTTTTTATTCTAGTACAGTGATTGTGAGCCTTTCAGGGACCAAACTGCAGCCCCAAATCCACTTATTTATCACAAAATGCCAACAATGTAATTAAATCTGAATATTGAGATTTTAGTTTAGAAAAAACAACCCATACATTAACAACTTTTGTCTTAAAAGAAAAATAAAATTTAACAGGAATGCGACAAGTTTGCCACCCCTGTTCTAATATATATGCAAAAATGCCCAGCAAAAAATTTTTTTTTCATTTTGTGAATAAGGACAAAAATTAGTTTTCTATAATGTCCAGATTTCAGAAGAAAATTCCAAAACATAATAGTATTTAATCAATATAAGCTTTTCAATAATCTCATTTAATACAATAAACTTCATCAGGAACCTGTAAATATACAGTACAGAAGTAATTCATTCATGGATTTTTTTTTTTTTGTACTGGGGATCGAACTCCAGTCCTTGTGCTTGCAAAGCAGGTGCCAGAACCACTGAGCTACGTCCCCAGCCCTATGGATTAATTTTTAAGAAGAAGAATAAAGAGGGCTGGGTATGTGGCTCAGCAGCACCATGCCTGCTGCGGTCCTGAGTTCAATCCCCAGTACCCGGTGGGGGGGAAGAGTAAGAATAAGAATAAAGAAAGAACACTACATGGCTATAGCAATAATTTACTCATATGCCACTGTATTTTTTAAAGGAAAATGTTAGCAGAAAACCCAATTATAACATTTACTAAATTATCAAGTAAACTCCAATTTTTGTTTGAAAACATTAGAGATAGAAAAGGGGCAAAGATAAGAAAGGGAATAAAAAGAAGACGATGTTCTACAATAAATTAAAAGAGTTGAACATTGATACATGCTTATACAAAAAGTGTTTCTTTCTTACAAATTGTTTGAGTTCTGAAATTCTTTAAAATACATACACAAAAAAATTATGCTTTAGGCTTAACAGTCAGCATAAGAACTGCTTACCTTGTAGATTATAAGCTGCCAACTGCACTGCTGTATCAAAAGGACATTCTAATCTGAGACCAAAACACAAAATTATTAAGTTAATTTCTAATCTTCATTTTAAGATAAATTTAAAAATGCATACTTTATGTTGACCATTTCATTTTTGTAACTTAGCATTATTTTCACAATCATTTTTCAACCACTCTAGAAAATGTGCAGTTACTTGCTCAACAACTAATACTCACTTTCCGCTGAGAATATCTTGTTTTAACTGAAGAACAAACAAGTACCTATGAAAAATAAAAGGCACCAATGAATAATCCACTTTGTCATTTTGTAAAAAAGGGGAATAAGACTCAGGTTCACATGACTACAAGATGACAGCAAGGACTCAGTATATTAAAGCAAGCTTAGAAGAAAATGCTTAAAGCATATTATTGACGATGAACTCCAACTGTACTGATTATCAAACGCATCTTTTTTATACATGAAGCGACACAGCATGGATAGATTCCTGGACAAAAGCTACAATCTCACTGTCAAAAGAGGGAACCCTTCCAAAGGAATTCTCTGACTCACTTTTTTCATGTAATGAAGATTGTGTGTGCATAAAGTCGTGCTTACGTGATACAGAGGCAATGAATAAATATCAAGGAGGCAGAATAAAGTGGATACAACATGATATTTATTCAAAACTATTCAAACGCGATCAAAAGCTAACATTTTCATTCATTAAAGGCATTTTAATGAATAAAAGGGCAGGAACTAACCTGAATGAACTAACCTGAATGAACACCCTGTGGCCAAAGAGATTACTTGGTCCATTAACATGATATTGAAATGTACTGAGAAACCACAATTCTCTTTAAAATCTATGTGTTACTGCTTTTAAAAAAAAAAAACCCTCACTAGTCAATTTCAGCAGATACTAGGGAACCAAATATTTTGAAGATAAAATGAAAGAACAGAATTATACACTTAAAAAACAATATCCAGCCGGGTGTGGTGGTGGTGATAGTGCACACCTAGAATCCTAGCACTCTGGAAGGCTGAAGTAGGAGGATCACAAGTTTGAGCCAGGCCTAAGCAAGTTTCTAACTTAGTGAGACCTTGACTCAAAATAAAATTTAGCTGGGCATGGTGGCGCATGCCTATAATCTCAATACTTGGAAGGTTGAGGCAGAAGGACTGCTGCAAGTTCGAGGCCAGCTTTGGCTATACAGAGAGTTGAAGGTTCACCTAAACTACATGGCAAGACTTGGTCTTAAAAACCATAAAACGGAATTGTCTTTGCTATTCCAGGTCTCTTCTGGTTCCAAGTGAATTTTAGGATTGTTTTCTCTAATTCTGTAAGATGTTGGTGGAGTTTTGATCAGGAATGCATTAAATCTGTATAACAATTTTGGAAGTATGGCCATGTTCACTATATTGGTTCTTCCTACCTGAGAACAGGGGATATCTTCCATTTTCTGATATCTTCTTTGATCTCTTTTTTTTAAGATTACTGTAGTTTTCAATGGAGAAGTCTTTTATTTCCTTTGTTAGGTTGATCAGAAGGTATTTCATTTTTTGGACACTACTCTGAAGCATTGTTCTAGTTTCTCTCTCAGTGAGTTTGTTATTCCTGTACAGGAATGCTGTTAATTTTCAAGTGTTGACTTTGTAGCCAGCTGCACTACTGAATATGGCTACTAAATCTAGAAGTCTTTTGGGAATTCTTGGGGTCTTCTATGAAGAATATCACATCATTTGCAAATAACGGTAATTTAACTTCTTCCTTTCCTATTCTTATTCCTGTCTTCCTCTTGCCTAAGTGCTCTGGCTAATGTTTGCAGAACTGTATTAGCAGTGGTGACCGCGAACATCCTTGTCTTGTTCCTAATTTTAGAGTGAAAGCTTTTAGTTTTTGTCCATATAGTATAATACTGGCTGTTGGTTTGTCATAGATGACTTTTATCAGATTGAGAGTAGGAAAAAATTGTAGCCAGCTGTCCCTCAGATAAAGGACTAAAACAAATAAGGAATTTTAAAAAATCAGAACACCCCCAAACTTAAAGACCCAATCCAAAAATGGGCACCTGAAATGAACAGACACTTCTAAGGTGCAAATGGCAAATAAATATATAAAGAAATGTTTGACATCACTAGTCATTGGAGAGATAAAAATTAAAACAACAGTGAGATTCCATCTCACTCCAGAAAAGATGGCTATTATCAAGAAATCAAACAACAACAAATGCTGAGAGGAATATGGCAGAAAAAGGAACCCTTCTCCACTGTTGGTGGAAGTATAGACAGCTGTAACCACTGCGGAAATAACTGTGGAGATTCCTCAAACAACTAGGATTACAGGTCCCATTTGACCAAGCTTTTCCCCTGCTGGGTATCTTCCTGAAATAATTAAAAGCATCATATCACAGCAATATATGCACACCCATGTTTATAGTGACACAGTTTATAATAACTAAATTTTGGAAACAACCCAAGTGCCCATCAACCAATGAATGGATAAAAAAGATGTGGTTTTTCTACAATCGAGTACTACTCAACCATAAAGAAGAATAAACTTGAGATATTTATGGTCAAAGGGATGCACCCTGAAACTATACTCACATGTGTAAATACTGCACTGTCTCTCTGATGTAAGAAACTGAAAGTGTAAATAGGGACCAAAATGTATAATAAATAATGTGAAATAGGAAGAAACTGTTCAAAAGGAAAGGGGAACTGGGTGAGGAGGGAAGAAGGAAAATGAAGAAAACGAGAAAAGGAAAAAATGGAAATGGGATTTTTTATAAATATGGAGGGAAAGGGGTTGAAGAGAAGCAGGGAGAATGGGAAAAAAGAAGACTCAAGATATATCGTGTACAGGTAAAAATTCCCTATGATGAATGTGATCATTATATGCAGCTAAATTGTACCATTAAAATTAAAAAAACAAAACAAACAAAAAAGTAAAAAATAAAAGAGCTGGAGCTCAGTGCAAAGGCCCTGGGTTCAATCTCCAGTACAGCAAACAAAACAAAATAATGCAACACAAAACAACCACTGTCCCAGAACAAAATTCACTGATGTCTTTTTACTATGGGCAAGGAATCTACTTCATTGGTTGTCTAGAAATTGGAAACAATCCTAAAATTAATTCCAACACTACCAAAATAACCCTACACAACTCTAGAAAGCAGTCTTACCGGGTCAGCTCTTCACGAAGATTGTTTGGCTCCGAGGAATAAAACTTAACTCGAAGATGCAGGCAATAAGGTGAACCAACTGCCATGAAAAAAAAGAAAAGATTTAGTTTCTATTTAACTAATAATACTTTTCAGCCAGTAAATCTGTTGATAATCTACTGAAGTGGGATAGAAGATAACAGGTTATTGTGGCATTATTTCAGGTTAGATCACAATTTAAATGTTACACAAAAATATAAGTAGACTTAATATACCAACCATCATATGGCATTATCATAAATGTCTGTCGCCTTAACAACAGACATCTCTAATTCTTACAGTTCAGGGCCAAATACATCAAATAAGTCTAGACTTGACTGTACAACCTAACAGCCCTGAAAACTGGTCAAGCTGAATTTTCTTAAAGGCATTGAAGAATGCTCAGATCAACTGGTCAAGAATAGTCATCCCACACACCTTCAAATTCATTTTAGCTAATTCACTAACCTGTGTATTCTCAGTATTCCTGTCCCATCATTTTGTAAAGACAAGAGATGAGGTGTCCTAAAATTTGACACTATGAAAGGTCAAACTAAATTACTAGTAGTAGAATACTAGTATTCTTCCCTGACGACTGCTATGAATCATATTAATATTTTATGCGAATTATTTCATCTCATTATTTTCCCTTCTCCCATCCACGTACTAACCAAACCTGCTTAGCTTTTGAGATCAGATGAGATCAGGTGAGTTTAGGGTGGTATGGCCGTAGACTCATCTCATTATTCTAAATTAAGTATTGTTACAGCTTTAAAGCCTTAAAATTATTTTCTAAAACTAGACAAATACTAAGAAAAACCCAAACAAAAAAATTCCAACACAAATAATTACTAAATAAAAATCCAGCCATTTTGGAAAAAAAAAATCTTATGTGCAAGCTATAAGGATTTCTCCTATAAACTTTAAATTGTAAGACACCTGAATCTACATTAGTATCAAATCTATATGATGAGCCAGTGCATTAGAATGAAATGATTTTTAGAAAGCAGAGATGCTAAAATAATCCATCCAAAAACAATATTCTTACTCTTAAGAGCCACTTTCTAATACATTTGATTTCCATTTTCTCTACAAATAACTTTCACAACACTTACTTTTTACTTGTTTCTTGATGCTTTTTGTACCATCCAACCAATGCTGAAAACACACACACAAAAGTTCCGTAGTTAAGTAGATGAAAGAACTTTAAAATTTTAATTGCTGAAGGTTATTTTTCATTATGCATTTGTTGATAACCACAATGAAATATTTCACAAGGGAAAAACCAAAGGAAGTGACTATTTGAGAGAAGGAGGGGGAAATCACTTCACATTCCATGCTAAGCTTATGACTTACACCAAATAATATCTAAAACCTGATATGTGATGTTTTAAAAACATTTTTCTTGTCCCTCAATAACCAGGTTAATAGTCTAAATCTTGCCCTTAGTTTCCCTCATTGTTCCCAAATAAATGGCTCCCAAATTGTCAAAATTAAAAAAGGGCTGGGGATGCTGTTCAGTGCTAGGCTGTTTGCCTAACCTGCACAAAGCCCTGGTTCTTATCCCCAGCACTGTGTGTGTGTGTGTGTGTGTGTGTGTGTGTGTGTGTGTATAAATATAAATTATTTTCATATTCCAGTGTCCGGTTCATTCTTATAGCAGACATGTGAGATTTATGGACAGAGTGTAAGAATCACATGAAGTAATGTAACAGTACAACCTACATTTAGAAAAAGTAGATACTACTCAGAAATAGTACTCTGAAAGAGCATGCTGGGTAAAATTAGATTTTTCTCATAATCAAGGCCCTATCTATCAAATGAAGCACTCTGTTCCTTTGTGCTATAATCAGCAAATTTCTGGTTTCAACAGTAACAATTTTCTGACTTATACAACCTCTTCATTATGAAATATCCATGACACAAGCAGACCTAAAAACCAATTCCAAATACTTTCACATTCCCAGATCACTTCTCATTATTAATCCCTCTACACCTCCAAGTCCTACCAGAGACAGCACTTGTCCAACTGAGATATACAGGACTAAGTTATCTTCAGCATGTTTTCAATTCCAAGGAGCCTAAAGGAAAGGAGTGTGCTTGTGCTAACTAGTTCACACAGCAAAGGAATTCAGTTTCACAAATTCAGAGGCAAGGAATAAACAAGGCTACATTGTTAATATGGTTTGAAGTTTGCTTTCCTTGCCAGTTATTTGCCTTGCCTCTCCTCTCCGTTATCTCCCAACAACCAAATTGAAATTCTCAGAACTACCACCGTGCCAGTACAGTGCCTTTCCACCTTGAAATATGATGATGCTCAGTAAACATTTCAAAGGGCAATTAAATGCCATGCAATATTTTACCTGGATTCCAAGTTTTATAGACTATTTAGCCATCTATTACCTTTTAACAGATTCAGCTGGATATTCATTTTTAAGCATATCTCAACTTAATAAATAATCTACCATTCCTGCCCCCAAATCCAAAATTCAAAAATTTCAAACTTAATCCCTGTCCCCCAAACCTACTACAATCTAATGCCAATTATAAACAAGGTATAAAACTATATTTATGTCTCAGGATGTTTTCTCCCCCAAAACCATGGACCTCACAAGTTGTTCTATCTGTATCCCTTGTAATACAATAAAAAAAAGAAAATAGCCCTATGGTCACATGGACTCTGTTGCATATAATCATGGTTAGGGAGACACTCATACATTATAACAAGTACAAGTAAGCACGACCCTTCAGGATATAATGTGACTAGACAGAACGTAATGCCTCAAAAATAACTCTGTGTACAGATTTACCTAGAAGGAATACTACAGAAATATAATTTATATATTTAGCAACAATGAACTGGTTAAAGTATTTAAATATGAGAGCATAATACAGCAATTAAAAAGAATGAAAGCAAATACTTAAGGGTCTGAAACATTTATAATATATTACTACTTTTTAAACGGTATACTGTAAAAAGTATAATTTTGTCAAAAAGTACAAATATGCATAATATGCATTTTCTTTCATATTGAAATAATATAACAAAATTAATACAAATGTTATCTTTAGGTGATTGAGACTGCTAGTGATATTTTCTCTTCTTTGGGCTTTCCTGTATTTTCTCCTTAGTCTAAATGAACACCTATTATGTAACACAATAACCATAGACTCCTTTATTTTTAATACAGGTAATAAGTTCACAAGGTTTAATATTATAGTACTATCAAAAAGCTTATGGTCAACTGTCTTCCCCAAACCCAATATACTACATATACTCTCCACAAGATATTACAGATTTCTCTTGATAACTTGATAACTGAAAACAGAACAAAAAACTTTCACATATGGGTGTTAGTAAAAAGTGAAGAACATTTATGATAAACTAAAAAGAGACTAAATATAAATTTTAACAGAATAAATTTTGTGGAATATAAGAAAGCAACATAAATAAAAGAAATGTAAGAAAATATAACTGAAACGCAACGAGAAAAAGGGCTACACGTGTCTTCCAGACATATATTTTAGTCTCTTTTCTACCTATATGTAGCAGCTTCTAGTATCCCCACTCTTTTAAGACACCCAAAACTCAGATAAATCATCAAACACATTTTAAAGTAAGATTTAGGAGCTGGGGGAATTCTGGTTGACATTCTTCTGGGGCAGGACTGAGTTCATGTTTGCATATTCTCAAGTCTGTTTTCTTTCATCTCCTCCACATTCCAAGAGCAGAGACTGGAAAATGCAGAGACAGGCACTGACAGTATTTTCCTTGAATCAGTGTCTTTAGTTTAAAGACACTTGAGAAGATAAAGTGAGAGGGTGCACATAGATTCTTAGCGCTCAAAATCAGACTAATTAGGTTTGCACCATGCTTTTAAAAGGAAACAAACTCCCTTCTAATTTCCTATTTTTAAAGTTTAGTCGATAAACTTAGATATCAAAGACTGAGGAAAGCCACACCTAGTTCCATCCTATTGAGCTGGGTATGGAAGAACAATGATTTGTCTGTCTAAAATATGAACAGTATATAATGATAAATACAAAGGACATAACTAAACCAAACAAAAAAAAATCACCTAGGAAGCTTTCAAAACATCAACATACACACACCCTCATACCAGGTCCTCCAGCCAAATAGTCTGTAAATAGCCTTTCAATGATTCCCGCCTTTTAAACATCTACATGGTTTACAAAAGAAATGCACCACTGCTTCCTGCTCAAAAGCCAGAGATTACAGCAGAGAAATGTTAAGTATCTTTCAAAACAATGACTTCAACAAAAAAATATTTCCTCTTTGAGTAGAGCCTTATGTCCTAAAATAAATTATTTTAAAACAGGTTTTACATTTACAGAATTTTAGAAAGTGTTAAAAACCTATGCTAAGAAAGCAGGGGAGACCAATACACTTTTTCATCATAATCTAACTGAAAAACTTTAGTCTAGATTCCATTATACAGTAAATTCCTCCCAAGTCATTACTTTTTTGATGTTAACAGTATGCTATTGATAACAGGGGAAATAAATGTAACTCCCAATCTGCTAGATGTCAGATATGCTGAAATTGTGTTCCCCAAAATCGAAGAATGAATTCTAAGGAACAAGGGAAACTAAGAATAGGAAATATTGGACTGGGGATTTAGCTCAGTGGTTCTGCTGCCTGGCTCACAAGCACAAGGTTCCAAGTTCCATCCCTGGTACCAAGGGGGGAAAAAAAAGGAAATATTTATTGAGACAGCTTCTGAGAGGCAGGAGGGGATCTGAAAGTGGACTGCTAATGAGTCCACTTCCCAATGGAAGTTTTATAGACCAAAATCACAAAGTGGGTATAAAATCACTAGGTGGGAAGTGCAAGGACCCGAGTTGAATCCCCAGTACCAAAAAAAAAAAAAAAAAAAAAAAAC